ATTATATTAATAGTTCAAAATAGAAAATCGTGTCTTTATAAATACCAACATGGAATTTGATCAAATTAAACACTGCTTTTTTGCGGTGCCAGGGTTGAACCCAGGGCCTCACACAAGTGACAAGTGTTTTACTGCTGAGCCACACACCCAGGTGCTACACATCCTTTTTCTTCTCAATTTTTTTCTATTAAGACATGTTTGCAGTGCATAATGATTACACTCATTGTGGGGAGCTGGTACAGGTACATGACACATCTCAGTTCTCTTTTAAATCTCCTTCTCCCTTCCCCCGTCTCTCCTCTTGATCCCCTTCCCATTTGCAAAAGATCTATCATCATATTCTCCATTATATATCTTTTTAAAAAAAATATTTTGGGTTTCTCATATAAGAAAAATCATGTGATATTTAAGCTTGTGTGCCTGATTTATTTCACTTAACATTATGGTCTCAGGATGCATCCAATTTTCCAACAATAATTCAAGTTTATCCTTTGTTATGGCAGAGTAGTACTCATCATGTATAAATACCATGGGAAAATATTAAAGACAAATATTTAGGATATGTTAGACATATTAATCAATGAAATACAGACATTTGAAATAAACAATGATAAAAAAACTGGCTGGCTCTCATCGCAGCATTTGGGAGGCTGAGGCAGGATTCCTGTGAGTTCGAGGCCAGCGTGGGCTACATAGCAAGACCCTGCCTCAAAAAACAAAAACAACCTCCTCAAAACCCTCAATAAGTAAATTAATTAATTAATTAATTAATTAATTAAAAATTTTTAAAAAAGAAGTGGCTGGTCACAATAGTGTACGCTTATAATCCCAGGACTGTGGGAGGCTGAGGCAGGAGTATCCAAAACTGGAACCCAGTCTGGGCGATTTGGGGATGTAGCTCATCGTGAAAGCCCTGGGTTCAAACCTTCATATTGCAAAAAGGAAGGAGGAGAAAGAAAAGGAGAAGCAGAAGGAGAAGTAGTGGGAATATTCTAGATCCTCTTCTAGAATGTCTTTTAGAATTAGTTTTAGATTTCCAACAAAAGAGAACTTTCAGAGTAGCCAGGTTTGGTGGTGTATACCTGCAATCCCAGCACTCGGGAAGCTGAGGCAGAATGATCACTGCAAGTTCCAGGCCAGCCTGGGCTACAATATGAGTTACAGTGAAACCCTGTCTCAAAAAGGCGCTCCCCTCCAAAAAAAGAACTGTGAGGATATTCTAGAAGATAATCTCAGAAGAGGAGAAAGACGAGGTGGGGGGTAAGATGTGGTGGTTAAAAGCACATTCACTCCTTTAACACTTTGTTCAAAAGACAGAGCTTAATTCCTCTCTTCTGGAACGCATTCTGGATTTAGTGACTTGCTTGCACTGAATGGGGTAAATCAGAAGTGACGGCAGGTGATCCAGGAGTCCAAGACATAAAGGGTACTGTGGCGTGACCTTTGTGATTCACGTTGTCTGCAGAAGACCCTGCAGTGAGGACGCTTGCGTGATAGGGGAGAGGGGCCCGAAACGAGGAGCTGGGACTGGCTACCTATGGCCCTGTCTGTGAGCCACCCTGGAGGTGGGGCCACCAGCCTGGGCAACCTCCACCTGCCTGCACTGCTGGACAGCAGAGAGCCGGATGCCTCCGTGCAGCCAGGGGAGCCGCTCCTGAGCGCCAGGCACAGGAACTGGCAGATGGGAAAAGCTGATTGCTTTAAGCTACTGAGTTTTGGAGCAATTTGTTATGCAGCCACACAACTAATACTGAAGGTAAAATAAAAACTTTTCTGAGCAGAAAAAGGGGGAAAGAGTTTGACACCAGAAGACCCGTACTAAAGGAAATTTGAACATACGGTATAATTTTCAGGTATAAGGAAAATGAAACTAGAAGGAAGGTGAGAGATAGACAAGGAATGAAGAAAACCTAGAATGGCAAATATGAATATAAGCCTAATGCTTCATTGGATTTAAAGATATATCACAGTAAGGAGGTGTCACTAAATGGAGAGATACACCATACCGTGTCAAGGGAAGGAAGAGTCATTCTTCCCTGAGTGATCTATAAATTTGATGTAATCTTAATTGAAATGGCAGCAGCTTGTTTCCTTAGAAATTGAAAAAATGATATTAAAGTTTATACAGTGATAGACTGAAATAGGACAATTCTATAAAAGACACAGCCGAAGGACTCATAAACATGATTTTAATATTTACCATAAAGCTATTGGAAGTTTGACAAACTATGACCCACAGGCTAATGGTGTGTACCCTGTTTTTGCCAGCTTACAAGCTAAAAATACTTCTGGAACTTTTAAGTGGTTGAAAAAGGGAAAAAGGTGAAGTGGGAAAACTGACTTTGACTCTAGTAATAAGTATACTCTTAGAAAGTCTGAGTCACAGAAACAACTAGAAACAGTGAACTGGTCAGTAACTGGACTTGCCAAAAGAGTTCTGTGAAATGTTAATATGTTTTAAAATTACTTCACATTTTTATTAATATTAATATAAATAATGTTCTGTATAATTCTATCACTTGTACAATGTTAAAAATTCCACAGTGTAGCTGGGGGTGGTGGTGCACTCCTGTGATCCCAGCACTCGGGAGGCTGAGGCAGGAGGATCACCATGAGATCAGGGGCCAGCCTAAACTACATAGTGAGACCCTGTCTCAAAAAAACAAAAAAAGCTTCCACATTGTAAAAGTGTGCTAGGTGTGGTGGAACATAGCTATAATCCTAGCATTCTGGGAGGTTGAGGCAGAAGGATAAAATATTTGAGCCCAGCCTGGGCAATTTAGTGAGACCCCATCTCAAAATAAAAAATAAAAATAGAAAAGGGCTGGGGAAGTAGCTCAGCACAAAAACCCTGGATTAAATCCCCAGTACCAAAAAAAGAAGAAAAGAGGGGCTGGGGATTTAGCTCAGCAGCAAAAGCACTTGCCTGGCAAGCGCAAGGTTGTGAGTTCAATTCCTGGCACCGGAAGAAAAGACAAAAAAAAAAAAAAAAAAAAAAAAAAAAAAAAAAAAAAAAAAAAAAGAAGAAAAGAAAAAAAGGAAGGAAGAAAGAAAATGAAAAGAAAAATATTTATCTGTGCACTTTTGTGTTCTCATAACTGAATGCAAGGTGGAATATGCTTGCACATACATACATATATGCAGATGCCCCATCACTGTCAAAATAGTTGCTGCATGGCCCTTAACTTTTCTCAGATCCCATGGGCAAGGTTAAGGCGCTAGCTGTAGCTGTTGTTCACAAAGCCTGGATTCTTACTTCTGGGTCAACCTCTACTCGATACAATTAAGTGATCAAGAAATTGACTCAGAGGACCCTCAAGAATGTTAAGTGCTTTTCTTTTCTTTCTCACTTGCTTTTCTTTTTGAAGTGCCTGTGATTGAACCCAGGGCCTCATGCATTGTAGACAAGTGCTTTACAACTGAGCTACATCGCCAACCCTTTTTTTTTTAAATCTTATTTTAAGGAATGGGATCTTACTATGCCCAGGATGTGATCCTCCCACCTCAGTATGCCTAGTAGCTGGGAATGCAGGTGCTCACCCTTGTGCTTGGCACATTGAAAGCTTTAAAAGTTTGGTTAACCAAAGGTAGAATTACTTGGAGCCTTGACAGAGCAACCAGTATCTGCCTTTTTGTGGGTTGTGGGTCTTTTGAGACAGGGTCTTGCTATGCAGCCCAGGCTGACCTTGAACTCATGGCAATCCTCCTGCCTCAGCCTCCCAAGTGCTGGGATTACAGGTGTGCACCACCACACCCAGCTGACTACCCTGTATTTCTATAGTGGATTGGCTTTCTGAATGCTGGGGTTCTACACCCCAAAGAAGCTGCAGAAGCAGCAGATAGCACATGGTCAGTTCTTGCACCAGAGTCCTGCTGACCATGTAGGGCCTATATTGGAGCCCTCCTACGCCCACCTCAGTACTTCAACCTCACATTTGATAGGGCATGATGGAGAAGCCCATGAAGTCACTAATCTGTCAAGTCTGGTGGAGGCTCAGGGAATTTCCCAGTTGCTGAAGCTGAATGCTTCCACAGAACTCACCACTTTGAGAGAAGTTTGTTTTTTTCAGTGGGTCTTCCACCTGACCCTGTAACAGATGGCCGAGTCAAAGCCGCTAAATGAACACCCTCTGGCCCACCTGCTTATCTCTTCTGGACACATCTATTCTGGAAACCACATTCTGGAAACTCAGATGTCACTGCTGTGGTTAAAATCCCTCAGCGGTGCCACATTCTTCTTCCGGTCTGCACCAGGAACCCTCCCTTGGCCTTCCGGTCCTGCTGACCTCGGCAGCCTCATCTCCATTCCCTTCGCTTGCTTGTCCACTGACTTGCAGCTCCCCTTTACTAGGCGAACTCCTGCTTCTTCTCTGGCCCTCTAGCATCCCTTCCCTGACCCCAGGACTGGGGCAGGTCCCTTTGCTTATTCACGCTTGTGGCACTGAGTTTTCCCTTTACTCGATAACGTTCAAAATTTCCGTTTACTTGAGCAATTATGTCACTTCTGTCTGCCTCCCACAAGACGATCAAGTTCATTAGGGCAGGGCTGAGTTTGCTTTCACGGCAGCCCCACTCCCTAGGAACGCGCCTAGCAAGCATTCACTCCAGGAAAGCAGGTCCCAAGATGCGCAGCTACACGTGTCAGTCCCTCTGCGGCGCAGACCCCAGAAGCCTCGGGATAGGGCGGTGCCTGGGGAACCCTCAGTGTGAAAAGGACGCCGCAACGCTCTAGCTGGCGTCCAGCCGCCCCCTGAGAGGGGGCGCTCCAACTCTGTGCTTGAGGGCCTCAGGTTCTCCGCCGGTTCCCTGCGGGGTGGATCACACTTGCAGAGTCACACTTGCAGCCCTGGGCAGAGCGACGCCAAGCACGGCGGGATGCAGAACTCCGAAGGGCCAGGCGCGCAGGCCGAGCCCCAGCAAGCCGCCACACCCGGCGAGGGCGCTCTAGGCCGGTCCTCCCGAGCAGTCGCGCGCCCCCAGGGCCTCTCTAGCTGCCAGGCGCTGGCGCAGTGCTTGTCGGGAAGGCGGCGGCGGCGGCGTCTGGAGCCATGGTGGGTGGCGAGGCAGCCGCCGCGGTGGAAGAACTGGTTTCCGGGGTGCGGCAGGCGGCCGACTTCGCCGAGCAGTTCCGGTCCTACTCCGAAAGCGAGAAGCAATGGAAGGCTCGCATGGAATTCATCCTACGCCATCTGCCAGACTACCGCGACCCGCCGGACGGCGGCGGCCGCCTGGACCAGCTGCTGTCCCTCTCCATGGTCTGGGCCAATCACCTCTTCCTGGGCTGCAGGTGCGGACCCCTGCCGTCCGGCTGACCCTGTCCCCAGCCCGCCGACCCTCCGCCCTCTCCCAGGGCTCACCCCGGACCGAGACCCCTGCCCCAGACCGAACCTGCACCCATCTCCCGCCACGTGGGCTGGCCCGCCGGCTCCCTCCCGCCCTGGCAGCCCCTTGCAAAGACGCTTACCTGCCCTGAGCCTCTGTCCTCGGTTGGTAAATGGGCGGTTGTGATGACTACAATAATTAAACCTTGAAGAGCTCAATGCATGGTTGGGCTCCAGAGTAGCTATATTGCTAATGCAATTTATATTACTGTTACTAGCTCAAACTACCACTTTTGCAGAGTACGTTTTAAGTCAATGAACTTTCAACCACAGGGGCAGAAGCTGAGACAAACTAAGAATACCTGAGAGAGAGGAAATAACATGCCTAGGGCTGTGCAGCTTCTGGCAGGACTGCAACGACGGCGGGCATAATCTGTGTCCTTTGGCTTTTTCTCCCCACTCCCAGCTTTGCCCCTCTGCTTTCCGTCTTACGAAAATAACGTGTTATATAGCCTGGCGTGGTGGTGCACGCCTGTAATCCCAGCACTCGGGAGGCTGAGGCAGGAGGATCGTTGTGAGTTCGAGGCCAGCTTGGATTACAAAGTGAGCTCGAGGCCAGCCTGAACTGCACAGGGAGACCCTGTCTCAAAAAGACCAAAAAAAAAAAAAAAAAACATGTGACCTTTTATCAAGGTCTCAAAGTCCATGGCATCTTGGCTTCTGCATCAGCAGGGCAAGAGCCAGCCTTCACGAAAGAGCAGCTGATGCCACGGCTCCCTTACTTCTTACTTTAGGATTCCCTGAAGCTGTGTGAGAGAAAAGGGACGGCTTGGTTTGGTCCTAAATTTCTGTACCCTGACTGCTGTCCGGCCCCTCCAAGCCATGTTTTGTTTTCCTCCAGTACTGGAAACCGAACCCAGGACTTTGTGCGTGCTGAGCATGTGCTGTACAACTGAGCGGCATTCCGAACCCCAGGCCGCTTGTTATTTTGTTTCAATTTCTTCATGTTTTGGGATTTATTGGAACAGGGTATAGGGAAGCCACGCCGGACATAGCCATCCCTTTTTTCTGGCTTCCAGATGACCCTGGGAAATCCTGGTTAACAGGTTCCAAGGCTAGGCAGATGTCAAGAGAATGAAGCAGATGACCCAGGCATGCCTGCCCAGCAGTCTGGAAGTTTGAAGCGGGGGGATTGCAAATTCTAGCAAATTCTTAGCAAGACTCTGTCTCAAAAAATAGAAAGAAAGAAAGAAAGAAAGAAGGAAAGAAAGAAAAAGACTGGGGATGTGGCTCAATGAAAAAAGCAAAAAAAGCTAAGCAAATGTACAAATGTTATTTATTTATTTGTTCGTTTATTTGGTACCAGGAATGGATCTCACGCCCTTGCACTTGCCCGGCAGACACTGTGGCTCTGAGCTATATCACCAGTAACAGAATGTGATATTCATAAGACTGACATGCTACATGTTTAAAAGTAATCAAAACAGTTTTTGGCCTTCACCCCATATTTGTGAAATGTACTTCCTGATGTATGGAGATTTCAAATCTTTTGTAAATATTGAAATGTACTCTGTTGACATTCCTGCCCAGTTCTGTACCTACAAGTGGGAAGACGTGTTTCCTAACCTTGTGCTGAATATGTATCAGTTTCCCCTGCAGTTTCCAGTTAGTTCTTTGGAAACCCAGGTACAGTGGTGCACACTTGTAGCCCCAGCTGCTGGGAAAACTGAGGCAGGGAAATCATTTGAGTTCCAGGCCAGCCTGGGCAACATTATGAAATTCCATCTCTTAAAAAAAAAAAACGTTCAGTTCTCCTACAGTTGAGTTTACAGACCAGAAACTTGCAATTTCTTATTAACGTAAAGTGAGTAGTAATTCTTCCAGTTTTCACCTTAGTACTTTTTATTGTGCAGTTACAATAAAGACCTTCTGGACAAGGTGATGGAAATGGCTGATGGAATTGAAGTGGAAGACTTGCCACAGTTTACCACCAGAAGTGAATTAATGAAAAAGGTAAACAGGATTTCTAAGTGCATTTGATGGACCGATGAGGGGTTAATGGTATCTGGTTTGATGATACTACATTGGAGGAAACTGTTTTTGTGTTTTTGAGAGAGAGTCTCCCTACGTAGCCCAGGCTGCCTTGACCCACACTTCTTGTCCCTGGAAGCAGCGCTGCCATCACACAAAGCAAAAACATTTTGCAGCTGGAGGGACCCACTGTGAGGCTCAGGGTACTGCAGCTTTTTTGAGTTATGTGTGTTACAACTTCATTCAAAAAAACTAATATTTTCTTAGTAGCCAAGTTTACTTTTAGACTTGATGACAATGAAAATGATGTTCTGCTGCTCCTAAAAAGTGAGATCCTTAAGAGGGTGCCTTGAGTCTTGCCAGTGAGGACTGCTGGGTGTGGAGGTGGAGTTCAGCTGGAGAGTGCTGGCCTCCCATTCACAGAGCGCTGGGTTCTGTCCACAGCCCAACAAGCCAGAAATGCTCCTCTGGAAGCCTGTGCTGAGAACGAGTCCTCTGTGTGCTGGGCCTGGTTTCTGGAAATCGAGGGCTGTCCACTCTACTGAAGGCCACTCTGAGAACTCCCTGGAAAGAGGCCCAGGGGTCTTCACAGAAGTTTTTGCATATAACAGAGGAAGCTGGCAAGCATTAGGCAAGAGTGCCAGCCCCCAGACAAACACCAAAAACCTAATTCCCTTGTCTAGTCGTGCACTTGAAAATGTCTGTTGTGCTGCCCGGAATTGATCCCTTAGCTCTAAAATTAGAGTTTCACTGGGTTTTAAAGCTGGCTAGCAAGCGAAATGAATCGCCTGGCAGTGTTAGTATCTTGAGCCCAGACAGTAATGATGACTAGAGACAGAAGGCCTCCACAAGAAGATTTTAAAAATACTTTCTGGCGGTTCTACAGCTTGGAGATGAGTACATCTCTGTGGTACTGTGGGTGAGGGTTTTTTTTGTTTGTTTTTTTTGTTTTTGTTTGTTTGAGAAGAGAAATGAGCATTAGTCTTTGATAAGTGGGATTTTTTTAGTTTCTTGTTTTTGATGCTACTGGGGATTGAAACCAGTGCCTTCATACTGAGCTATGTCCCCAGCCCTTTTAGTTTTTATTTCTAGACAGGATTTTGGTAAGTCACTAAGTTGCCTGGGCTGGGCTTAAACTTTCAGTCCTCTTGCCTCGGCCTCTGAGAGTTCCGGGTTTACAGGTATTTGCCATCGTGCTTGGCTAGACATGTGGGACTTGTCAAACAGTTGCAGTGTATGCTGTATTTCTTTTGAAAGACGGGGATTCAAGCACAAATATATTGAGCAAATGATTTTTGATTTCTAACCACCACCCTGAGGCACCTGCTCCCAGCCTGTGGGACTGACTATCCAGCACCCTATTAAAGAATGATAATTAACGAAGAGCAGCAGCTGACTCAGGAAAGCTGTTAGCGCCAGGAATGTCAGAGTTAGTATTTCCAAGGTAATGTCTTAAGCAAGGAGAAACGATTGACTAGGAAGCTGTCATTATTGGCTTAGCAAAAAAGGTTGTCAGCCTAATTGGTCCATTTTTCCTGAGAACGGGGAGGGG